GCGCGCGCGCGTGTGTGTGTGTGTGTGTGTGTGTGTGTGTGTGTGTGTGTGTGTGTGTGTGTATGTGTGTGTGTGTGTGTGTATGTGTGTGTGTGTGCGTTCATAATGTGTGAATGCTGGACTTTTCGTTAATTTTTTTTGTTTTTGACATTTTTGTTCTCGTGAAATCATGTAAACCTTTGTAATGAAATTCCTTCGAATGCACGGTGTCACCTTCATCAAATAACACATCGTTTCATGGAGATGACAAAACAATATACAAACTCCGTTCGTCATCACATCAAACACACGGACAATCCATCTTTTCATGGAATAATGCACGCAAGTGATGGTCATTGAGTGGTTGGGTTAACATGAGTACTTCCTGATGTTCATTTTGAAGTGATTCCCATCAAGTGGACACATCCCCAAAAGAAAGGCACATGTCCCATCGCCCACACAGTACATGAGCCCCATTATTTGAATGTAAAAGAAGAACACCGTTTGACGGCGCGTTAATATCAAAATAAGCACGTACAAATCATGGTTGACGAAGCCTCCGCTTCGTCAAATTCCACAACGAATGCAGGTCGACAACTCAGATAAAAGAGAATGTGAAGGACAATCATAAAATGAAATACACGGCGTTCAATCGAAATGAACGTAACAACCGTGTACCCTACTTCAAAAAAGACAAAACATGTGTCGTCCGCTACAAAACCTAATGAGTACACACCAAACGACGCAAAGTATGTGCACTTCAAACCTAAGGATCGTCGGTGGTGTGGGTGTAGAAGACTTAAAAACCCTGCCGCCAACGATCGCCTTCGACTCCTACTATCACCCACCCTCGCCGGCAGTCCTTCGACTTCGACTCCCACTATCACCCACCCTCGGCGCCATCAACATCTTCGTCGTCGTCGTCTTCCTCCTCAGGGGGGCCTGTGCCGATCCACTCCATCTTCGTCGCTTCCATCGGGGAGGACAAAGTCGCATCGTGATTGAACGTGACGCCGCACTTGGACGCCCAGTCGGGGATGTAGAGTGGGGGGGAAGCGAAGGTCGGAGGCGGTCTTCCCAGTTTGTCTGTCATGACAGTTGCGGCTTGCAAGACATGACGACGCGAGTCAAAATGGCGATCCATGGAAGCAAGAAGGGTGGTCTTCGCCGTCAACTGCACGAAAACCCAGGAGTCGTAGTGCGATCTTGAGTCGTCCCCAACCATCCTCATTATCCACGCCGCCGCTGCCAGCAAATATCTCATCGCCTCCGCAAGGGATTTCAGCCACTCGTAAGAAACACGCCCCGAGTCCATCACCTGCGCCGCCTCCACCACATTGCTGAAATCGTGCACCAAACGTTGAGCTATGGCCTCCTCGTAAGCCGCGCACTCGTCATCCTGGTGCCTGTCCACCACATTCGCTCCGACGAACCACAAAGGGAGCTTCATACCCAACTCCAGCGTGTTACGAATCACCATCGGGCTGACTAACGAACGCCAGTCCTCCGATGCCCACATCGCTCTGGCGATGTCCGTCGCCGCGTGGTTCAAGGCGTACTGGTACGCCAAGTGATACCCCTTGTGTCTGCTATCGGACTTGAAAATCCAGCCGTGGATCGCCCTCTTCGCAATGGTCTCCACCTTTAACGCCCTTTCCTTGCCGCCCTCAACTCCGACCCGTCTTCGATCTTCTTCTGCGGGATTGAACTATGGGGGAGGTTGATGCTCCTTCCGATCGGCGATGGCTGCACTCCCGTCGCTACGTCAACGAGGTAAACTCGGGCTTCATGTATGATCTGGATGATTTCGTGTCCCCGCGTATGATTCCAGAAGCGAATGTCGTCGGTCCATAGCCTCGCGGCAACCTCCATCGCTTTCACCTCCTCACGTTGCCCGCGCAGCTTGTTCACCAGGGCTTCGTCGTCTTCGCCTACCGCCCCGCCATCGCCCGCCTTCGCACCGTCCGCCACTTCGTGCACTACCGGAACTGCCTCCCTACGTGGCTGCGGCGCAGGGGATCGCTTCGCAGACACGTCGATCACAGCCTGGGAACTGCTAGCCAACAATTACATATCAATCAATATGAAAATATGGATAATATATAAATATACATAATAGATATACATAATAAATATACATAGAATATAGACATAAATAGTATAGAAAGAGAAAAGTCCATTTACACTCTATTTTATTTAATTGACAGAGAACTTTGAAATTATCTTTTCCGCTTATTTGATGGCGTATGTGGCTGATCATGAGCCACCTCTGCTGCGTCACCCCCCCCCACTTCGATCCGCATAGCGCCCCCCGTTCTCGGCTTAACTTTCCTCTTAAGAGTCTGTTCCCCTTCTTCTTGGAAGTCGGCGTCCTCCTCCTGTCTCTCCTCTTCATCCACCCAATCTGACTCGACCTCCCGTCCGACCACGCCTTTCCTGCCTTGGACGCCCCTTCTTCTCTTCGTGGGATCGTGTCGACCTTTCTTCGGTACAAGCTCGCCTTTCGCTACTTGTTTCCCAACACCTCTCCCACGTGCAACGGCGCGAGAAGACGTTATGTTTCCTGTGTGCACGATGAAATGGAAGGCGCGTAAGAAGAACGTTGATCCGTCGACCTTGGAGATGGCGGCGATCAGATCTTCAGGCGGCGCGCAGGACCACACGGCGAGTGGTGGTTGATGGCGGCGAACACAGTACAAGCGGCGAGAAGATGCAATGGAGGCGCGCAATAGAGAAGGTTTTTGGTGGTTATACTGCCTGAAATACTAGACATCGACAAAATCAGATGGCGGCGCACATAGAAGATGGTTGATGGCGGGTAATGTCGTAGGAGGCGAGAAGATCAGACGGCGGCCCTCGCCATACACGGCAATCGAGCAGCGATGGTGGCGAGAAGATGTGATGGACGTGAAAATGAAGGGGGTGAAAAGAAAGGCGGCGAGAAGATGTGATGGAGGCGAAAATAAAGGCGGCGGAAAGATGTGATGGAGGCGCGCATGAAAAAGGTCGGGGTAGAAGATGTGATGGAGGCGCGCATAAAAGAGGCCGGGGGAGGGGGGGTTAATGGCGACAAGATGTCCTGCAAGTCCTTCACCAGGCGGCGTGAAGATGATATGCACGCTTTTGGATGACTGCAGAGCGGGGCGATTGCACGGTACTTATTAGAAAATGGTGGTCGTGGGGAAAGGGTAGGACTGATGGCGCGCTGCCATTTCGACGTCGCCAGTATGTTTGTTTTTTCCAACACGTTGGCGGATTGCAATCAACCGTCGTACCCACTTGCATGGGGCGACGAGACAACCAAAGAGCAAAAAAGACAACATCGCGGGACACCACCCCCCATCCAAAAAAAAAAACACTCTGCCGAACCCCCACTCCGCCCGCCCCCCCCCCCCCCCCCCCCCCCCCCCCCCCCCCCCCCTGAAATTCTCCAAGGGGCAACATCCGAACCTCGTCTACCCCCGTCCATCCCTGTCTCCAACACGAATGCCACGACACTACAAAAAAACGTCTACGACGGAAGACGACGTCCCTACAAATGCACGCCCTCTAGACACTTCCGAAAAACAATTGAAATATGGGGGAGGTAAAAATTTGAAAAACTTCACTCCCATCACGATTATCAAACAAACCAAAAAAAAAAAAAACAATAAAATGAAATGTAAGTGGACGACTGAGTTCACGACACGGTAACCATGTCGCAAACCATGCAATCCGATTGAAGACGGCCTTTTCAGACTGCTTACAAAGTTTCTCCGAACATCATTGAAGACGCCATGCACGTCGATTCCCATGATTGACACGACACATGAATGGACAACAGTCTCCAACCACATCACACGTCGACTACAACACAAGACAACTGGATAAACTGCAAATGCTAATGTCGTTGCAATCATTTTATACAAAACACAAAAAACTTTCGTTGCTAGTTAGTTTGTGTGTGTGCCAGACCGAAAAAAACAGAGAGAGAGAGAGAGAGAGAGAGAGAGAGAGAGAGAGAGAGAGAGAGAGAGAGAGAGAGAGAGAGCGAGAGAGAGACATTCATCTGAGATAATAAAAACACTCGCGGTGCGAGGGATTGAAGCACAACAATTTAAAACAAACGGTAAGTGCGTTCTGCACTTTCCAAATTCATATTGAATTCAATTGAATGACGGGATTACCCGTCTCGAACCACCATAGAGTAAGCATACACAAAGACGGGCGATCAATGTGCCCAACCGTCCTAAAACATCACTCGAAACATACACAAAACGAAGACGACACCTTGCCGACAAAGCCGAGTACAACGGGAAGCCACCAACTGTTAACCGACTACTACATTCCACGGCGCCACTGGTACACAACACAATGCCTACAAACTCTATCGCTCGCGAATAGCCTTTGCTATTCCAAACAACGCATGGCACATGAGTTTGCTGACTTCATCGGACGCGGCGTAGTGTGTCTTCTGCACCTGCACTCCAACTTCTAAAGCCTCACATTGTCGTAGCTGAATGCTGCATTGCCGCTTGTCGGCACTCTCCATCGTGGCCGCCATCAACGCACCGTGCTTCTCCATGCAATCGGTCATTGCCTCGAACGTCTGTTGTCGCGTGCTCTTCCTCTTTCCAAATGCACCAGGGCTGCCCGTCGTCTGGGAAGAACCACGAGTCGATCCCCCCTCCTCATCGTCTCCCCCCGCACCGGCGTCGGCATCACCAACTGCTTCACGATCACCATTCGACGTGGACGGCAAACGCACACCGCGAGAGGCACCAGTGTCTGGAACGTTTTTCGGGTTGATGGTTTCATTAAAACCTGTGGACCCTTCAATCTCGTCGTAAACAGCGTGATCCATGTTGAAATTGAAGCCCTTGCTCGCCCTCTCCTTCGCGCTCAACTGGAAGAAGTCGATTCCCCTGGACAGCGATTGAAAATTATGAACTTTCTTGAATTGTTGCATGAGGTTGTCCCACTTCTTCCCGCATTTCTCTGCCTTCCTCTCCACACCAACATTCTTCAATCTTCTGGCGACGTCATTTCATTTCCACTCCCTCGCCTTCATCCGGCTGTACACGTGGCCCATCCCCTGCAAGTGCGCATCCTGATCGCGTTTCGCCCGTATGAGGGCGATGATATGTTCGACACTCCAAAATTTCCGCTTCTCCTCTGCCTCGCCGTCGCCGTCAACGTCGTTCGGCTTTGCTTGTGCTTTCTTCGGCCGCCCACGACCATTCCCGCTCCTCGCCTGCGTCTTGCCGCCCTTCCCACCCATGTCGCTGTTCTCCGATGGCGAGGCGTGACCCCCGTTCCCGTCCCCTCCTTCTTCGCTGTCGTCGTCGTCTTCTTCGGACGGAAGCCCCGCATCTGGCTCCTCAACTTCTTTCGCCTGCCTGTCCATCCTCAAATGCTCCACCCCCCGCCTGATTGCTTCCTCTCGACCCTCCCTTAACTCCCGTCGTTGCTCCGCCCACAGTAACCTCCCGTCGACGTCGTCCAAGTTCCCCCCCCCTTCCGCGACAATGCCTCCTCGATGTCCCAGGTTGGACGCAACATACACCGGAGACAATGACCGCATGAACTGTGGGCGCCCCTGCGCGGTCCTGGAGATGGAAGTCGATCGTCCCTGGCACTGCTGCGCGCCGGTGGATTTCAATGATCTGTCCACAGCGGTTAACCGCCCGCCGTCATCGCCAGGATGGGGATTGACGATCACTGTGCGCGTCCGGCTTCCACACCTCCCCGTAGACTGACCGGAAGAGAGGTTCACTCCGCCGTCTCCTTCTTCCCCGTCGATGCCCGGCCGCAGCAGTTCAGTGAAGGACTGCGCGTGCATGCCGGCACTCCCACCACACAGCTCCGTCCAAGCCCATTCCTGCGTAGATCCACTACCCAACGGAACAGTGTGACCCCGTCCCTCCCTCTCCTGCTCATCAGATGAGTCTGGGAGGGGTTGCAAATGCAGCGGCAATGCACAATTGTCGACCGGCAGCGACAACCTACAAGCCGAAGAAGAACTTCCAACGGCTCGCCTACTCACTACGTGCTCCCCTCCTCCCCTGGGGGATCCCTGCCATGTGTCCGTCCGGACGGGCTTCATCGGCAGAGTTCGTCTACGTCGACGCCGCTGCGCGTTCCCGAGGAAACACACGTGGAACACTATGACGACCACCAGCAAGAAGACGGCGAGAAGCAGCAACGGCAGCTTGCGAAAGACGTCAGCCATGAGCCGGCCGACGACAACGGCACTAGACGGAAGAAAACACAGGCGACAACATAACATCAGGGTACCTGCAGACGGCGATACGAGCTTGGCGACAAACGGAAACCGTCGTGTTGTGGACGCGCTGTGCCGCCTCAAATATTCGCAATTGCCGACCGTTGAGCGGTTTCCCGCTTCGGCTGAAGCCCAGCCCCAAGGTGCACTGTGGTGTGCACCTTGGGGATGCTACCGGCCTGCAAACGGTTACCGTTGGCATTATGAGAGTTGCCGCTTGAACGTTGGCGACCCGACATGTCCGTGCGCAAGTCGGCCGGACATGCGATGGACCAGAAACCGCCGACAAAAGAAGTACATTGAGGTGTCGCCGAAGACCCCGTTCTTCCACATGGGGGAGCCCCGAGGATCCTACAGGAGGTTCCTTGGGGAAAAATGAAAATTGGCTGTGGCCCGAGGAATCCCCGAGGAATCCCCGAGGAAATGTTTTCACATTTTTTTTTCGTTTTCTTCCCCGAGGATAAGTGGAACGATCAATTCCTCGGGGATTTTACGCGCCCGAGGAGTGTCGAACGAGCCCCATAGTATCAATCCAAAAATCTCATATCCTAGTAAGGTGCTGTTCTAGTCATAGAACTCCAGATGCCTCTTCAGTCGTACAAAATGACCGCCAGAACAAAGTGATTAACCTAGCATCTATCTTCATAAACTCCCACCTATCTAATAAAGCCGCCTATCTTTTGGTAATCTCGAAAAGAGTTCAGCGTGGGCCATAGCAAATCTCGTAGGACGAACACTCCAACACTCAGCACTGTCAGCAGCAACCACAAAAGACAAATCGTGGCAGTGGATCTTTCTTTTATTTTTTTCCTTTTTTTTGGACAGTTTCTTAATTTCCCAAAAAAAAAAAAAAACACGAAAGGGCCACGAAGCTTTAGGGTCTCGCTCCACTACTGTCCACTGTGCAATTTTTCAGACAGTTGGTGGACAGTTGTCAGAGCGAAAAATTGTACAGCGGACAGTGGAAATTGCGACATCGCTCCACTTACTGTCCGCTGTCCACCTCTCAAATCCGTGGCTTCACTACCAGACACAGTGATAGCACTACAAGACAGGACGTCCATAGGGTTTTGTCCGCCCAAACTCCAGGTGCACTCTCCAAATTCGGGTCCTCACGGTGAGTCCCTTGAAGGACTTTCCGCGTAACGAATTTTGCAGGCTGGGAGCTGTACATTCATGGACAGTACTAGATTTTCGACGGGGTTTCTAAAAACTGTCCAAGCCATTTTGCACATGTACAGTGGACAGTAAGTGGAGCGAAGTACGACTGTCCGTTTTTGTACAGTGGATAGTAGTGGAGCGAGACCCTAAGGGTCTCGCTCCACTACTATCCACTGTACAAAAACGGACAGTCGTACTTCGGGTCTCGCTCCACTACTGTCCACTTTACAAAAACGGACAGTCGTACTCCGCTCCACTTGCTGTCCACTGTACATGTGCAAAATGGCTTGGACAATTTTTAGAAACCCCGTCGAAAATCTACTGTCCGTGAATGTACAGCTCCCAGCCTGCAAAATTCGTTACGCGGAAAGTCCTTCAAGGGACTCACCGTGAGGACCCGAATTTGGAGAGCGCACCTAGAGTCCAGGCGGACAAAATCCTTTGGACGCCCTGTCTTGTAGATCTATCTCTGCGTCCGTAGTGAACTCACGAATTTGAGAGGCGGACAGCGGACAGTAAGTGCAGCGATGCCGCGTTTTCCAGATTTTGAACTCTCTGAATGCTGTCCGTGAACTGTTCAGAAATTTGTACAGCGGACAGTAGTGGAGCGAGACCCTTAGTATGGGCCTCGCGCCACTCTCTGGACATGCACAAAAGACGAAAATCATGGCAGTTTATCTTTCCGTGTTCTAGCGGAAGATTCACTCTCGTTTTGCACTTGTAGAGAGTAGTGGAGAGAGGCCCTATATTTCCATGTCCCAAGAGAATCTGACCGCGTAGCGCTGTGGGCCTCAATGCAGTGCTCTCGACATGCACAAAAGACAAAATCATGGGGGTGTATCTTTCCATAATCTAGCTGAAGATTCACTCTCGTTGTGCACATTTCAAGAGTAGTCCAGCGAGGCCCTGTATCGGTCTTTATTTTTCTTTTCTTGTACACAGAGTGAGCGTCTCTGAAAATGGCACGAGCAGGGGGCTGTTCCTCTCGGAGCGGCACAAGTTCTTGTACACAGAGTGAGCCAAACACAACATGAACACTCTTTGTCAGAGTGTCCTCCCACGGCTGTCAGGGTGTCCTCCCACAGAGTGTCAGAGTGTCCTCCCACGGCTGTCAGAGTGTCCTCCCAAAGAAGGCCATGATGGGCCTCGCTGCACTACTCTAGACTCTCGAATTTTCGAGAGTGGGACCTCGCTGCACTTGCTCTCAATCGGAAACTCTCGAAACCTGATAGAGAGCTGTCAGCGGGCACTCTAATATCGCCACTCTCGAAACGCCGAGAGTCGAGAGTAGCCCACCTGCAAAACACAAATTTACAAGTGTCCTTGGGAGCTGCCCGCCGACCGGCTCGTTTTTCGACAGTGGACCTCCTGTCCCGGCGGCCAGACTTTGGAGTCAGTTGCTGGGCCGGGCCAAAAAAAAAAAAAAAGAAAAACAAATTATTCTTAAGTTTTATTTTTTATTTTAAATCCGGTAAAGAATTTCGATGTGACCCTGAGGCAAAAGTTGTTCGATTTTTTTTTGAAACAAGTGCGGTAGTACCACACTTTCAAACTGTAAAGGCAAAAAAAACACTAATGGGCAACGAAAAAATGGCCGTAGTTTGAAAAGGCAAAGATAACAGTAATGGGCAGTAACCTCACACCCCGACTTCAAAAAGTGCGCTGGCTTCACATCCACGGTGGTCCCAGCCCGTGGTCGCGCGGTAAGGAGTTTTTTTTTTTTTTTGGTCGGTCGCACCGCGCCGCGCCGTGCCACGGCTGGGAAAAAAAAAAAAAAAAAAAAAAACAAGAAAAAGGTGTATCATCCCCATGGTAGGGCCACGGCCGAGATGTCTCGGCCACACCCCAGGTTGGCCACGGCCGAAATGTCTCGGCCACACCCCATGGTCGGGCCACGGCCGAGATGTCTTGGCCGCACCCCGGATTGGCCACGGCCGAGATGTCTCGGCCACACCCCAGATTGGCCACGGCCAAAATATTTTTCACCGGCCCGGTACTTGGGAACAGACCGGTACCCAGACCGGTACCGTGCCTGTGACACAGCCACCCATGTAAAACTGCCACAACCGCTCATATCAGACTTCGGCCTCGACGTTATTGCACTCCCATGTTTCGCTTGCCTTTTCGAAGTCGGGCCCCGACGAATATGCCCGCAGATGTTTTTTTTGCCCTTTCGAAACTATTTTGTGCCACAAACGCACTTGCCCCTTTTTTTTTTTTTTTTTTTAACACACCTCTCAGTGCTAGTGGTGCTGGTAAAAGCAGACACCGCTAGCACCTTGGAAGAGGCTCCATCTATTAGTGGGGAGCACCACTTGCTGGAAAACGGGTCCAGCATCCCTTGTACAGAATGATTTAGAAAATCCAGGAAAGACAGAAAATAATACGTGTCTGGAAGAAACTTGTCAGCATTGATTACTCTGAATTCCAGAGGATTGACTGAGCAGGATATCAAAAAAATTGTCTGAACAAAGGCCTGCCAGCATTGATTACTCTGGTAATCAGAGGATTAACTGTGCAGAATACTGAGAAAAAGAGAAAAACCAATATTGTCATCCTGTTTTACAGTCATGGAATTGCCTGCTGGCCTTGATTGCCCTGGGATCCCAGGGAATTTAACTGTAGACGAGCCAGGCTTAGCTAGGTCTCCCTTGTATACTGGGGTACCAGACTCCCAGCAGTGTCTTCAGTGGCCCGGCCTGATGTGCAAGAGTAGCGGGGAGGCGGGTTCTGCGCCCAGGGGGCGACTGGGGCAGACTGCCAATTCCTCCCAATATCCTTGCTCATCAGGAGCGGTCCCCTAAAAGCTCTGTTGGAGAGGATCCTTTGTGCCCCCTGTGTCCCTGCCATACCAGCTCAATTCAACCAAGGTATTGTTGGGTGGGGGGAAAAGGTCAGGGTATTCAGAGGCAGGGGGGAGCGGGATGTTGCTGGGAATTGCAGTCCAATCATGGAAGATCAAACGGTAGTCTTTCTGCGATGTGTCCATAGGCAACCGATCATTGTCATCCATTTGCCAGCCGTCCCATTGTATCTTTGCAATCCATCTGCCCTGTTCACCTCCCAGCCAGTCCATGCAGAATTCATGCAGTTTTTGGGTAATGTCTGATCTTTTTTGTGAGAGCTTTCGTCGCTTGTATAGTCTTTTTCCACTGGGCTCTGAGTGCTGTTACTATCATGTCTTTAATCATTTCCATCATCTCGCCTCTTTCCACATGGGCGCCTTCAAGTGCTAGGATGCATCTGCGACGCCATATGGCCCATAATACTGCTTCCCTCCTGATCCTAAATAAGCTAGTCGTACATGTCGAGGTACGAGCTATCCAATGCCTAGTTAACAGGGCTCTCCATTCCCACGGCCAATTCCTGTCAGTACCAGGCTGGTTCCAAATCCGAACCCACCCACTCCACATCAGGATTGAAGCTGGGCACTGCAAGAAGAGATGTTTTATTGTCTAGTTAGCCTTTCGAGAGGGAAAGCCTTCCTTACACGCCAGGCACCAGGGGAGGGCCAACCCTTTCTGCTCCAGGTGGGTATGGTCAATGAGCCATGCGTTTGTGGGTAAACAGCGATGGGTGATTTGCCATTGGAGCGAGGCGGCTTTGGCCGGCTTAGATTTTACCCCTTCGAAGCATTTACAGGTCTCGGTGTCGAGCGCATCGGCCCCCGCCTTTTTTCCCGAAGAGACGGGAGCCCTCCCAGCCATGTCCCGCAGGAGTTTAAACAAAACCAAAATCAAGAGACAACTCTGAGACGACGCATAAATAATCCCGTGGACCGCCGAGATGGTCGCGGTGGTGTCGTCCCTTCGCCGCTCTAGACGGGTGCGCCAACTGTACATCCCGCGGTCCCCTATGACAGGATAGGTTCCCGTGAGGTATAAGTTTGCTTCCCTAAGGGGCTGT